CTATCTGATTCATTCGCTTTTTGGGACTTCACCACCTTTATTGCATCTCCGAAATGGTTTTTATCGTATCCAGTAACTTTCTTTTAGACATTGCACCCCCTAATGCACCGTACCTTTTAAAAATTGTGGTTATCGAGTATTCCTTGGTTTTAGAGAAACCATTTTTTAATTTTTCAATAAGTTTGTTCTCCACAATAGTTTCACGGTTAGCGTATGAGACACTATGGTAAGCCTGAAGATTTTGTGACTGCTGTGTATTTTGACCACTTTGCCAAAAAAACATTGTGGATGGTATTTTACCTCCACAGCAAATTTCAGATGACATAATACTATCTGATTCATTCGCTTTTTGGGACTTCACCACCTTTATTGCATCTCCGAAATGGTTTTTATCGTATCCAGTAACTTTCTTTTAGGCATTGCACCCCCCTAATGCACCGTACCTTTTAAAAATTGTGGTTATCGAGTATTCCTTGTTTTTAGAGAAACCATTTTTTAATTTTTCAATAAGTTTGTTCTCCACAATATTTTCACGGTTAGCGTATGAGACACTATGGTAAGCCTGAAGATTTTGTTACTGCTGTGTATTTTGACCACTTTGCCAAAAAACATTGTGGATGGTATTTTACCTCCATAGCAATCAAATCATTTGAACCTATTCACTTTAAAATAGTTGAGTTATTCTGGGCAATTAATTTGATTTTTTTCTCAATATTTAAAGTTATAACTTGCGATAATCTTTTCTTATGAGACCTTTTATGGCAAAAGACGCATTTTTCAATCTCAAAAAGATCTTTTCGCAGGATCGATGAGGTGGATTCTGTCTCACCCGATGCTCTAGGACCATCACCAGCAAACTTGCCAACGATATTTTCTTTAGATTCCGTTCTGTACTTCTGATACTTATGTTGCAACAAATCAATGTTTCTTTTACTTATGTAGAAACAATAACAGGATTTATGCCACCTAAGTAACTCTACTTCACCTTCCTCGATTCTTTTAATTATTATTTGTAAATTATCATCCCCAGTTTGGCTAACTTGTCGAAGCTTTGAGTTTTTTTTGTGGTGTCCAATGTTTTGTCAGAACCTGTGATCATCGACCCAGACAAATTGTGGCAAAACATGCATTTCTTTGTATCCTTTTTACGTCTAATTTTCAGCATCGATTCGATATCGCTATCCAAAGTAGTACTACTTCCATTGTCTTCAATCATAGTTTTAACCCTGTAAATAATTAATTTATGACTCAATTCCGAAGATACAGAGCAGTAGCTATACAGTTAAAAATTAGCATTTGATTTTACTTGCGCTATATAACTTAATTCACATTTTTAATACCACGAAAGTTTTGTAAACTTTTTGTCGGAAACTAAAAATAACAATAAAAAGAAACTAGCATTAATTTGAATTTCCTCTGCTTGGATCTATGAGGTTTTCTTGAACTTTAACGCCTATATTCGAGAGTTAGTTTTGCATGAATAATTATTTGCATCTAGGTATGTATGAAATAATTAAAATTAATTTAATACACACTTACCCCTTAAAGATTTATGCAGCTAATAGATAGAAAAATTTATTCACACTAGCTAATATTAATTACAAATATTACTTATAATAAAGCACTCACTATAGATTACAGATCTTATAGGCAACGCTCGACATCGGGGAGTAGTGCGGTGTGGGAGGACGATTGTAGTCGGCAGTTCCAAGCGCCTGGATATTCTGTAGCTACGTTGATTTTTAAATCATAACTCAGTTATTATTTCCGTAAAAATATTTTTACCAATACTGTCGTAGTCAGAAAACATCGGCTTTCAATTTCTTAAGAATAATTTTTTTTTGATTTGAGACCTACTTTCCGAGTAATGGAGTGATAAATGTAAAAACACGGCAAAATGAATTAATTTTTAGCAAGCATCGAACGGAGATATAGACTCTTAAAGTCTGCGTCTGCCATAAGATGCAATGCTTTTTGAAAATAATTTACTTTTTTACAGCCAAACGGCTACAGAGAATATTATCAAATTTTTACCAAAGAAAGAACTGGCCCTCGGCTATCTGATGTACTACATAACTCGAAAATTTTGAATAACGCCCTTTTGTACAGGACAATCTTTGGACAACTTTTTTTGTAAGTTTACCTATATATAAGCTATCGATTTAGCCAGGTGTCAGCTTTTAGTGTTTAAACCCCTACAGCTTCGTTTTTTAAAGCATTTACGGGCGCACGAGCACTCTACTATCGTAACAGTGTTTGCTTTCGGATAGCTGGTTTGGAGAATTAATCCAGGATTCCTGTTAGTTGTAAATAAGAAAGCCCAAAGTATTCGTAACGGAGTTTATTTTATTAAAGTAACATTTATCCAAAACATGAAGTTAAACAAACATAAAATCAGATTCTACAACAATAGAACCAAGTCAAGTACAGTTAACAAATATTATTTACATCGGTGAAAATTAATTTACGGGGAGTGTAATTCGGTGATTGCACGGTGACGGTGGGCTTCAGCTCCAAGTACTGAAGTAAAACATCTAGGATTCGATGCGGCGGTAAGTTCGAAAATTATTTAACGGCGGCGGGCCCAGCTCAACACGCTGAAGACTCACGGCGATAAATAATTACTTAGACTGGTGACGGCGGTGCAGAGCGGCAAAATGACTACCAACACCAGGAGGTCAAGCTCAGCACGCTTAAAACCCCAAAGATGCTACCAGACATTCAGCCGGGCGGCGTCGTCGTCGGATTCTGATTTCAACAGATGGATAAAATAATATAAGTAAAAGATTACATGACACCGATAGGTGTAATTTTTGGAACATTGCACCAGTAAATACAGAGGATTTTAGATGACAGACTTCTATGTAAGAATTCATTCGTACTGTAGAAAGCTTTATTAGGTAAGTACTTTTTATTCTCTCCTTAAATATGTTAAGAGATTTGCTTCAGGAGATAATTCATTATAGAACTATATTCTGATTTCAAACCAAATGGAGTCAAGCTCAAGACGCTTAAGACTCCTCAACTACCTAGCTCAACACGCTGAAGGTAGTTGTCAGCACAAAACTGAATGCCTTTCCTCGGCTACGGCCATTCTATTTATACCAAAATCCTGGCCTTGGTGACGTCAATATTTCATGGCGGCAGGAAGTACGTGGCAGCACCTGCCAAACGGTAATTGCAGAAACTTCTAGGAATGAACATCTGCGTGATTCATCATATGTCGGCAGGAAGTGCGCGACAGCACAAGACTAACGGCAATTTCCGAAACTATAGTAATGAACATGCGTATGATTCATTACAGTTTTTTAAACTGTTTTTTATAATCGTCTCTAAACTCTAAACCGGAAATTATTTGGATAACTTTTCATTGGTTTGTGAATACAATATTATATGTTGTTGCATATTCCCAAATTAGAATGGCATATGATATTACAGAGTGAATGAAGGTGTGGTATGCAGTTATTAAGATTCTTTTAGAACGAGGTTTTGAAGCAGGTAAACAAATTTTGATATTTTATTACATATTGTGAAATGAGTGACTTTCCGAAGATAACTTCGAATCTAGAATTATACTCCTAGAAATTTAATGTACTCTGGATTCTTTACACTCTCCAAACTGAGCAAAGTAAATACCGTTGTCTCGATTTTTGGTGCATTTAGGCATAATTTGTTTGAGGTAGACCACTTTTGATCTCCGACGCGATATAGGGAACTTCATTTAACTAATCATTGGTACTGGAGGTGAACACAGTTAAGTATCGTCGCCAAACAAAATGCTTAAAACATTATTATTAATTGAAATTGGAAAATCATTAATGTAAGATGGGAAGATAATGGGCCCCAAGACAGACCCTTGAAGAACACCATATTTTAATTTTTTGTGGGGTAGATTTAGGTTCATTGTATACAACAAATTATTGCCCATCACTGAAATTTGAGTGTAGAAGACATTTGTTTTCATCCGAATCTTTGATGTAGGTAGTAGGTATAAATTAATTAACACTTGACTTCTTAAGATAACAGCGGTAAATTGAATTTTTCTTTAAACTAACGAATAATGAATGTAAAAATCCAAATTCACATTTTCATATGTAGATCTGACTTGTTTTAAAAAAGTTTAAAATCGACATATTTATGAATAAAATATATTACAGTCAAACCGAATTAATGAGTTAGGTACTAATACAAAATAAGTTTGAAACTTTTAACGCCTCGTTTTATATATTTAATATATCCAAAGAAATACACAGATGTATGATATAATACTGATATGCTAAGAAAGTAGTATAAAACGATATGTGTTGTACACTTATCTGTTATTAGTTTTTTGTAAAAGTATAGAAAATAATAACTACCAACTTGCTGTTACATACTTCAATTGATTATTTATTTAATATTGAAATGTTTTATTTTGCAACAATTTTTCATAGGAGTTAGTAGTCGAAAAACAATCACCTAAACTTAAATCCCACAAAGAATATAAAGACAGATTTGGTTTCAGATATCAAAGCACAAAATAAAAATACATATTTGTTCATGCAAATAATAAAATTAACAGATATTCCTGCAGATGCAAAATAAAAAAAATAGTTTGAAATATTAACATTAAGTCTCGACAAATAGAAATTACCCAAAATGATCCAAAGTTTTTCAGTTTTACTTTATAGTAATCAAAATATGATTTTCTTTCTTCAAGCTGTAATGCCATTTGTGCTTATGATAATAAAATAGTAGTTGTGGAACTAGACTTTAAACCGATAATAAAAAAAATCACGTCTCGTAGTGATTAGCTGGTCAAAATTAAGATATATGGTCAAAAAATAGGACATTTTTACTAACCTTATTTAAACTAAACTTAATATGTGCTTGACTTATAACCTGTCTGGAACAAATAGTCCAAGTTATTAAAATAAAATACACTCTATTGCAAATATCTTTTTTTGCTTTTTTGCATAGTAATAATGATGATGATGATTGTGTAGTTTCGTGGTCGAGTGTGGCCTCGTGATCGAGTGGTAAAGACACTTGCCTTTCAACCTTGAGTTCCGGGTTCGATCCCCGAGGAGCTAGGATTTTTTCTAAACCAGAAATTAATCCTGGCATACTCGGACATTCTGGTTGTGTGTCCATTGTCTCTAAATGTGTAGCCCTCTCCCACACAAGGTACCTTGTAACGGTGTCTGTTCGGACGCCCAAAATATGTAAGAAAGTGTGTTTGGGCGTCGGAATACGTAACAGTGTTTGCTTTCGGATAGCTGGTTTGGAGAATTAATCCAGGATTTCTGTTAGTTATACATAAGAAAGCCCAAAGTATACATAACAGATTTTATTTCATTAAAGCAACATTTATCCAACACATGAAGTTAAATAAACATAAAATCAGATTCTCTAACAATTAAACCAAATCAAGTACATTTAATAAATATTATATACATCGGTGCAATTAGTTTACGGGGAAGAGATAATTTCGGTGATTAAACGGTACGATGGTAGGCTTTAGCTCCACGTGCTGATGGAAACATCTAGGACTCCATGCGACGGTAAGATCGATAATAATTCAACGGCGGCGGGTCCAGCTCAACGCGCTGAAGGCCCACGACAATAAATAATCACTAAACTGGTGACGGCGGTGCAGAACGGTAAAATGACTACCAACCAACACCAGGAGCTCTAGCTCAACACGCTAAAAACCTCATGATGCTACCAGACATTCGGCCGGGTGGCGTCGTCGTCGGATTCTGAATTCTAGCCAGATGGAGTCAAGCTCAACGCGCTTAAGACTCCTCAACTACCCAGCTCAAGGCGCTGAAGGTAGTTGTCAGTAGAAAAACTGAATTGATTTTCTTGGCTACGGCGATTCTGTTTATACCAAAATCATGGCCTTGGTGACGTCTCACATTTCATGGCGGCGGGGAAGTGCATGGCAGCACACGCCAAACGGTAATTGCAGAAACTTCTAGAAATGAACATCTGCATGATTTATCACATGGCGGCAGGAAGTGCACTGTAGCACTAACGGGAATTTCTGAAACTATAGGAATGAACATATGCATGATTCATTATAACTTTGAGGTATCTACAGGGGATTGTATTACCTTTGGTGTTTAATAAGTAAGTATATTTTTAATGCGTTGAGCAGAGCAATTTTAATTGCAATTAAAAAAAATTGTTTTTGTAGTAACTTTTTCAACACATTTTCTCCGACCAACTATATTAAGGGTAATATGAGAAATGACGGTCTCTATGTATTTTGTAAAAATATATGAATAAAACGATTTATAAAATCACAAAACAATTAGGTTTTATTTTTTTAAGTTTTTTAAAAAATACATATCCAGACAATTCGAATTACTAGATATTCTACCAAGGTTGTGATGTAGGATTCTATACAAACCCGCTAGACACTTTTTGCTATTAACTGTTTATAAATCTTAATTTGTTTTCCTTTAATACTTTGATGATCCTTTTTAGTTAAATATATTTACACATTTACGTTCCTAATCCATTCCTTACTTGCTTAGTATATTTATTTTACTAAATAGAGCTCCCTAGACATACACGTTATTTATTATTTAAATGTTATCAACATAGACAATAGTTGCAACATGAGAAGCAAATTTCCCGTCACACATTCTCTCTTGAGTTGAGTTAGAGCTTTGCAAGTACTCTGTGCCTTAATGTATTTCATTGTTCCTTGGTATTAACAAGAAGATGAATCAAGAGTATTATTCTCGTCTATATTAAATTAGTATAGAGTAATAAGTTGAAGCGAGATATATAGACTTTAATGCCAAACATGTCTTGGTAATAACAGACTATTATAAGAATCGTAATGTTTACAATTGAAAATTGATGTGGGTAGAAACCAAAAAAACAAGATGTTAAAAAATCAAGAAAAACTGTTAATCATATAGGTTGAAAACCCTTATGCATTTTTAGTTTGTCTTCATATCGGTTCTGTAATGTACAGATTGCGACAGCTACATAGGGTCAGGCGTTTCCCTCATAAACTATTTTAAGTAAAAAAAAAAACACCAAGAGTAAACTTTCTTTAATTTTGTGTGAAAGAATTCGAAAATATTGTTAAATTTTTTCGGAAGGAGCACACAAATACACGTCACACTACAACTTTGTTTATATAAATGGAATACTTTTTTTTTGCTGATTTTGATTTCTTATAATGTTCTAAATTCATTTTATTTCGGATAATTTTGTCATTTGACCCACGGATTTTGAGATACAATTTTTGTGAACACTCGAGTATAGAAAATACCACTTCAGCTATTACCATTTATCCATATAGACACCGGACAATTTCCGTGCGAGCAGGACCGGCTCATGGGGTTAGTGACAATAACAATCATTTGTATGGAACGAATATAATACATGTCCCGATTGTCTTATAATTTCATATGACCTCCTGTACTGTGTTCAAGGAACTGATATATAAACTGATATTATCAGAATTTGTTCTGCGTGGACAGCATTCACTTTTAACACTAGTATTACACAAAGCATTTGCCACTATTTCCTCAACCGTTCGCATACTGGTTTGCAACACCCGTTTACTACATATTAACAATGGAGATGTACTCTGAATAGCACTTAAAATACGCATAATACTAGATGGTTTGTTATCATGTACTAATGTATAGTTATACTACTCGAGTACATGGTGCTCTTTCGTGTTTGGTGTCTTAATGTAGGACTAAAAGTGCAGAACTTACCACACTGAGACAAAAGTTAGTTAGTGAAAAACCACAAAAACCAATCGACCCAACTTTTTTTTTAAATCCCAAAAAAAAATTTTGTGCTGTGTGCGAGGCGTGTATGACACTACAGATTTTATCAACCCAAGAAAAAAAAACAAAAACTCCCCGCCGCGTCCCCGTCCGAATATTGTCCAACATTCCTATAGACTTCTACATATACGCTTGTAGTGATCATGCGGGCATGTTACTCTCATACTTTTTTTAAATTATCGACGCTCTAAGAATTCCCACGATAAATGTTGTAACCAAAGCAAAATGCTCAAATCGTAGAGAGCCGACATATTTATATGCAGGTTATTCTGACGTGTTTCTTACTTTATTACTAGAATGCACTTTTGATTCAAGATGCCGCTTGACGTCGTTGAAATGGTGAAACATTAATTTTCTGTTACATACGGTACAGTTCACTACAGATCCATTGATCCGAAAGTCATCAAACCTAGAAACAGTTTTCCATAGTTCAATGACTGTCAAGAAACACTATAGCGAGCCTACCTTCAGTAAGTACTCCCCTGGTAGTGTTTATTTTAAAAACTTATGCGCACGGCGACAATATATGTTCGTACACTGGTGGAGGAAAAGAAAACAAGATGTAAAAAGAAAAAGACATGGGGAGCTGAGAGGAAGCGATGCTTGTACTACAAGTAAAGAAATAGATGACATATTTGTTTAAGTATATCGGCATTAATGGATGAGCACCCGGGCACTAAGCGGCCAGGTTGTGACGGTGAACATTTTGTATCGAGTTATATACTCCATCGCGCAAGGGCCGCGACAGCCAGCGAGTCGCGACAGCCAACGAGAATAGCAGCGGTGCGCACGCGGCAAGCTAGTCGCATGGCCAATGGTTTGTAGAGAATGTAACGGGTGACCACGCTCTAGGAGTTGACTACACAGCGGCCAGTACAGTACAATCCGTACAGGAATATTGTCGCACGTTAAAACTCACTAGTTCAAGTACAGTGTGCTTTATCCTTTCTGACTGTAACACTTGCTGGCCGCTTTGGGCTAGTCGCGTTCTCATTACCCAAATTGGTGAACTATACCGCTTGTGTTGGCTAGGTGTGAGTTTTATTATATTAAATAATATCACGGTTATATGAGTGCTTTACAGGCTGGTTTATCAAGCTATTCATTCAAGTTTTTTGGTAATATCATAAAATTTATTTTTTCCTATTTTTTTTGATTCATTTGTGTATGTATTAATATTGAATATAATATTTAGGGAAATCGGTTATCCATATTTGCCTTTAACCCCACCTCAACAAATAATTTTGAGCTTTTTGTAACACTGAACGAAAATGCGACATAGTTGTTACTGTTTATTTTTCTCGTCACGCCGTCTACACACTGCGACGTTTAGAGATAAACTGAATAGTGAATAAACACGGTCTATATCTCGCTGTGCATGCGTTTACTGTGTTCTCCTATAAAAGCTCAGACAGGCCGGTATGAAAGCCGGTCCGGAATTCACGGAAATTGTCCGGTGTCCACACATAATACATATTTATAAAAATAATTAAAAATTGTAATGATTAGTAATACAATAGCCAACTGGATCTCCTAAACTGACTCAGTTTTTTCCTCTTTGAAAAATTAAGTTTATGGAAATATACTCCATCAATATAGTGAAAGAGATCAGGATCAGGAGACATTTCAAACAACTTTTCGTATTTATAACGAAAGCAATTTAACAAAGAAAAAAGAATTAAAGAAATAGGAAAAAATTTAATAAATACCAAACGAGTATTTTCAATATATAGAAACTATACTGGCTTCTTTTAACTTCAGTATAAAATGCTAATTTTCTTTCATCGAATATCATTAATTCTGTTCATATTTCTCATTTTTCTTTATTACTGCGGATACTCGAGAATAAAATGTTCAAATAAGAAAAGCAAAGAAGTCTGCTTTAAAAGGAACACTAATGGATTGACTAATAGGGTTTTGATGCGACGTCATTGAACAAATATCGTCTTTTGGACCTTAACTAAATCTAGAAATTCAGCACACGTTAAGATGTAATGAAACGTTAGACAGACAAATAAACGATGTTTTAAATTAAGTTAACTCACTCATGCACTTTGAGTGAGCCCATTGTTTAATATTGTAGCACAATTAAAACTCCAAGCCTACTATGATAATATACTAACTAAAATTAAATATATGCTTATAATATACAGAGTGGTTAAATATAACTAAATAGTGACGATTATTGTGTAGTGTTGCCCATATCAAAAAATGACCTAAATAAAAGTTGTTTGACTAATTACAGAGCAAGTTTCTGTGACCTTGATT